GTTTATTGCGTGTGTCATCGATTGTCTTAATACAAAAATATCACTGCTTCTTGAGTTTCTCTGAATTTCAGAATGTCCATCATTAAACATCGACTGTATGGCTTGCGATCGCAAAACAGTTTTTTTTTATTGCCAACGAACTAAAAAATTTCTTGATTTTAGTATCACGCTAGAGAAAAAATATATACAATTCCTTTTTATGAACGCTATAAGAAAAGTAAATTTTACCTTCTTACACGACAATCACAAAAATATTCAAGTAGAGAGAAGCATAAATTCTAATATACGAGTGAGGAGTTTTAATACAGCAAAAGTTTTTTTTTTTCTGCAATATATGGCTGTTTGAAGCAAAAAGCCGTATATGGCTGAGAAGGCAAAACTATATACTTTTGACCAAACTACAATATATACTACCATGGTTGACTTAGACGAATACTGAATGTAAGTAAAATGCTTCCGGCAAAAATTTCTAATAACAAATTAACTTTGACGTTAAGGAACAGAAAGCATCGCTCTCCCTTTGTTTAATAATTTAAAAGAACAAATCTAAATCTTGAAAAAAAACACCGTTAATAGATGTCTTTACAGCTAATGATTTACATGGTGTATCTTTCTAACTTGATTTGTAACTCTAATGATCAAAACTCTGTGCACTGTTCGAGCATCATGAGGACCATGCACACACGCTAAGGTCGAATAACTCGTTTTAATTTCGCTGGTCTAATAACAACTAAATACTTGAAATATAACCGAATTCCTTCTCCATTTTGCTGTAAAGCGCTAAACACATATAGCTGCATAGTGCATTGAAAGCACCAAACTATATACTGCTTTGTTTTACCTAGACAAATGTTGCATTTCAATAAGATATTTTTTATAAGTATTTCTAGTAACAATTTACATCAAACTTTGCAAAGGAGCAAAAAGAATCGACCTTACTTTGTTCAAAGGTCTTAAGAAATGCTTTCAATAAGACTTATGACAATATATATTACCTTAAGTCAGCTTATATTTTGCACAATCGGGACTTTTGACTTACCTTATAAGTTTGTTGGATTAGGACCTTTTTTTTCTTCGCCTCAGATTTGGAAGAGTCTTTTAAAATTTTCTTTGCGCATTCCAATTCGCACAGGTAAAAGTCTAGTGGTTCTTTTCAATTTTTATGGTTTAATCACCATCACTTATTGTCTATTACAATTCATTCACATATAGCCTTCACATCATTAGAAGGAAAACGTTGCATAGTGCTTTGAAACGCAAAACTATTTATTATTATATTTTTTTGCGTAGTGGAGGCTGTATACTGTTTAAAAGTAAAGAGTTACATACTACACTGTAAAACATTCTGATTCTAATTACAGTAAAAATTACCGGCACTTTGGATGCATCATCTGTAAAATCCATTTTACCATATAATCTCATTTTACCGTAAAATTCACTTTTAAATATATACCTTAATTTTTATAGTATTATTTAACTAACCGGAGTGATTCAGTGGTTTTTAGGTAATTATAATAGCAAAAATTACAGTGTATAAATTGTAAAAATTACAGTGACTTTTACAGTAATATTTATAAACATATTTAATTAGAGTGATTCATTGATTTTAGGATAATTATTACGGCATAAATTATGGTATAACTGATTTTCTGTTCCATAACATGTTCCAGTAGAAATGGATTTTACGGAAAATTTTTACGGTAGGTACATTTAGGATGCTGAAACTATGATACCATAATTTGATCCGGATATTTTTACAATGTACTACGTTATACCAAAAGATTTTCTAAACAACAATTAATTGAAAGGTTTTCCAACAAAAAGCATGCGTCTCATTTTATTCAGCGATAAAATAAAATTTCTCAAGTTATCTTTCTGAAACCCAATCCTCAAAAAGAAATAGAATTTTTAAAAAGAAAAAAAAAATAAGATTTCGTTCGATTTTAAGTTTCGAATAACGAAATCTTTGCTTCGAGCATGCAATCACGTGATCACATTTCGACACTTCAAACCATTTTCAATCTTCCCTTCACCTAGAATCCCGAAGTTAAAATGGTCGTCTGGGTGACAGTCACAGTGAAAGAAAATGCCCTCCCAAAAATAAAGAAACCATCCAAACGCGGACAATAGAGTTTGATTACTAGAAATTCCGATCCTCGCTTTTGTTCTCTCGGGAATTAAGGGTGATAACATACCGAAGACATCCTCTCGGGAACAAGAACAAAAAGATGAAGAAAAAAAGAAAAATAAAGATAAATAAAAAAAAACTTACAAAACCTTTAAAAAAAAGAATATATATATANTATATATATATATAAATACTATTCTTCATCTACAGAAATCCATGTTTTCCACTTTGAACCGAAAGTTATTGTGAACGTAATATCACAAATGTAATATTTTTTCCTTTTAATGTTCCTTTAGCTAGATGGAAGGATATATTTTTGATAAAAAAGTATTTTTAGACACAAAACTTTACAAAGTAATTCTATATGACATTAAAAAAATTAAGATCGTAAGACATTCTCATCGTTGCCAGTGCATTCTTATTGGCCAGAAAAATCATATGGTAAGATGCTGAATAAATTAAAAACTAAGATCCAGAAATCTACGGCTGACATCATTTTAAGCTAAATTATGATTTTCACTAACAAATTAGTTATTTATTACGTATTTAACAGTTATTTATCTAGTAATTGTATTTGAATACAGCCCATCCTTATTACGTTTTGATTTTGACTATTATTCAAAATTGTAATCTAACTTTTTGATTATTATTCATAATTGAGTTTAAATAAGCACTTTGTGTTAATTTAATTAATGTTTCACAATCGTTAAGTCATTTATTTTTGATTTTAATGGACATTTTATCTAAAACTTGCTTACCCAACTTATGCAATTGAAATAACCAATGTATAATAATGACTTAAAATTCTAAAGCAATATTAAATTTTTGCTTTATTAGTTTAAAATTATACGGTGAAAAATATTTAACAATTTTCTTTTTATAGAAATCAAAATTTGAAAGAAAAACTTTTAAAAAAAGTTTGAGGAAAGTCGTAATGATAAATGTGCAAATTTTTGTGGTTTAACTTTTATCCCTACAGAATCGGAGGCTAGTAGTTTTGTACCAATCTAATGCTAATACAATAGAAAAAATTTGGGATGTTTTATTGAAACAATATTTAATTTTGGTGCAATCATTTAAAAACAAAATTCATTCCAAACGTATATCATGATGAATAGAGAAGTATGAAGAATCACAATGAAAAGAGAAGTTTGCGAAATAAAATTTTTTACATCAAAAGATAAGGCAAAATTAAAATTAAACAAAAATAGTTTAAAATAGGAAAAAAAGGAAAAGAATCAAATAAAATTTCAGTATTATCTTTTACAATTTATGAAAAACTTAAATTTGCAATAGAAATCTTAGTTCCAAATATATTTAATAATTAGTAATGACAAATAAAATTGAAAGAAAAAAATAAACTAAAATCACCAGAATCTTTTTTTAACACTAGAAAGACGGAAACTTAGTATATACCTATATTGCCCGAAAGCAGTCAAAATGACTGCATAGTGAACGAGTAACTAATATGTAAAGAAATTTACTTAAAATTAATTTTTATTATTATTTACAGTGATACAACTAGTTATTAAAAAGCATTAACGATAAAAAACTTCACTTGGAAAAAATAATTTTTTCATTATTTGTACATTTTAAGCAAATGAAAGTGGAAATTTTTTAATGTGTAGCACATGTCCTTCCGCAAACACATTTTTGACATTTTTCACATGTATTATTTGTTTTGTTTTGTGGCAAAGTCGTACTTGACAAATTTTGCGTTTGTTAGAATATGTTGTATTTGTTGACGTTGCAGTTAATCTTTGTGGGTCTCCATGTTCTGATAAATTTTTCTGCCTTGCAGCTGTGTAATCGGTGGAAAGCTGTTCTGCTAGTTGAAACAAGAACTGTTTTCGTTGTATTTGTATTCCTGTCGCTTCTTTGCAAAGGATCCAAGCATTTATAGCAGCAAAATATAAAATATTGAAAAATATTTGGACGGGCCATCTACGAGAACTAGATTTTACTGTTGATTTTCTGGCCATTTGATCCGCAATATCAACTCCAAATTTTGTTTTGTTATAAAATTGAATAGAGTCCGGTAACATTTTTTTATTACTTTTATCAATTTTCACAAATTTATGCCTGGAACTTAGAACAGCTACTCTCTTATTCGGTTTGCTTTTAAATATTGTAAGGACACAATCTTGTGATTTGTATAGGAGAGTGGAAAAACGAGGCATGCTATCCTTCGTTTGTTTGGCTGCTTTGGATAGTTCTCTTTTATTTCCTCCAATAGTTCCAACTAGAGTTGTTTTTTTTTGGCCAATAATTTCGTCAAGAGTGACATGCTAATGAAAAAGTTATCGGTCGTGATATTCCTTCCGCAGCTTGTATTTGGCTCGACAGGTTTCAGAACAACGTGTTCACTGAGAAGCATTGACGATGGTCGTTGTTCATCTTTCCCCAAGTAAGGAAAACCATTCAAAACGTACTTGCTACTAATATCTGATGCAAGCCAGAATTTGATGCCATATTTGTTGGGTTTAATAGGCATATACTGTATAAACTTGCACCTGGCTTTTGTCGGAAATAATTGCTCGTCAACTGTTATATTTTTCCCTGGTAAGCAAGCGTAACTATTTTCAATGAATTTGTTCCATATTTCCAAAACCAAGGCAATTTTATTTGTTTGGAGCCGTCTACTTCTTTCGATGTTTTTGTCAAAACGAATAAATTGTAGGATTTGCTTGAACTTATCTCTGGTCATAGTTCTAAAAAATTCGGGACCCCACTTTGCTGACCATAAATAACTCAGTTTTAAATTTTTTGTCTCGTAGGGTCCACGAGCATATAAAATCCCAATAAATGCACGTATTTCCGGTAATGTTGTTGTCCAATCTTTCCCCAAAATTCGGCGGCCTTCTTTTTCTGTTCAGTTTTTTGCATGTTCGATAATATAGTTATCTATTATCAACGAGAATGCACTGACAATATTATCTGCCATAATGTTCCTTTTTGTGTAGCCTGTAGGACCTTTCACACCCTTGAAAACACAAGTAGATGGTAACCTTCCAGGAATTCCACCTTCGTCAAATTTTAACCACACAGTACCATCGGCAGCTGTTTCGGTCTCTTGAAAGGTGTTTTCAGTTTCTTCATCAGAGTCTGAAGTACTTAGCACCCTACACCTTTTCCTGGACACATTGTTGACACTTTCATTTTTATCTATGGTGATCGCCTTTTCATCGCTATCGTCAGCATCATATGTCTCACTTTGAATATAATCCGATTCATTTTCAGATGATAGTTCCCAATTTGTTGAATCTGATTCTATATCGGAACAATTTTCACCTATGCTCTTTAGCTTTTCCAATAATCTATTCGACCTTCTATTCGACATTTCTTTCATGAATTTAGGGCGCAAAAGAAATCAACTGAACAACATGTTTGAACGACTATCACTGCATAAAGCAGGCCCTTTCTAAGTCGGCACGTGCGCAGCTCACGGTTATTACGTTGTAGCACGTTCAAGGGGAACGAGGCGCGTGGACAGGCCAGGCGTAAATATTTGAATAACAAGTACTGTTTTAGTTATTGAACAACTGCAACTTATCAAGTATATTTTATTTTATTTTATAACCGTTGTTCAACAGCCAACCCAATTTTGGGATCGCGATTACTAATAATCAACTCCGTAGCCTTGCAATTTTGAATCAATCCAGAAGACAAGGAAACTCCTGGATCAGCACCCCAAGAGGTATGATTTGCTATGGGATTATGGAGGACTTTCAGACTCGACAAATTTAACGTGCATCAGTCACCATTTACTACACGGGAAGTCTTCGGCCGGCGAAGATCGTACCACGTTACATGGGGTGGAAATTCTCCCACTGTTAGCCTGACGGTAAAGAGATACTAACCCATGATCCTTCTACAACTATGGATATTTTATGAAAGTACTGTGGCCGGTGGGAGCCAAATGCAAAATTCGTATCGAAAAGGAAATTCGTCATCGCTGGGATTTGGACCCGGCTCCCCTCATTGGGAGGCAAGCGCTTTATTACCTGAGTCAACGCTGCTCTAAATGCAGTGTTTAGAAAATATGAGAACTGAAATCGATTTACAGCATCAAATTGAAACTTTATCTAAATTGAGTTTACATTATCAACTACGAGTATCCCAACCAAACGGAGCAACAAGCTAAATATGACTCCTAAGCAAAATGTGGAATGATCACTAGCATGTCTCCAGGTTATATGATCTGCGTTCATCGAAAGAAAAACAATCATCCCAACAAGGGATTTCAAAAACAAGTCATTCTTAAAACATGGTTTCAGTAATAAAAATGAAAATATCTTGAAATCCTAGTGACACATTTCAGTATGATTTGTGAAAAAATTTATAACAATATAATTGTGAAGTTGATCACTAAATTTGATGAGTAGTGCGTAAATTAAATTCCATTTTCATAGCATTGTTTTTATAGAGCATTTTTTAGAATTTTGTCATTTCTTGTAATTTTATCTTTATGTAGAAATTAATTTTTACATGGAAATAATTATAATTTTTTCAGTAGAAAATCAAATTTTCAGGACAGTACTATTTTTTAATTAAATCCAAATCTAGTAATATTAGTCTCTTCACTGTAAGGAACTCTGGATCCAATTACAAAATAAAGTTGGACATACTATCTGTTAAATCCGTTTTACTGTAAGATCATGTTTTACAGTGAAATATTTTAACGTAATTTAATTTTTAAGGTATTATTTATTTAATTACAGTGATTATACGGCAATTATTACTGTAAAAATTGCGGCAGATGTTTTTTTTTTGTTCTGTAACATAATCTAATAAAAATGAATTTTACGGTAAAAAGTACCGATACCCTGAGTGCCGGTATTCTTTAGCGTAATTCGATTCAGAATTTTTTACAGTGTATTAGTTATAATAACTAAAAAACTAAAAAGACAAAACAATAGCACTGTTTAATAAACGTAAAACTTAACGAAAAATTTTATTTTTTTTAAACATGCTTCTTTTACGATTCGATTTCACTTTTAAGTATTTATTTGCAACTCATGTTATATACATAAATTATTGTGAATCGATTTTTGAAACAATATAAAAGCTATAATCTAGAATTGGTTATTAAACGAACTCTAACTTTCCAATCTATTATATTTTACTGTCCAATAATGCTATTGCTACACCACAGGAGATTTTAAATAATAATTATTTATTTTCAAATGTTTCTATTTTCCTCTAAAAATCGAAACATAAATTTACATTAAATTCCATAACAAATATCAATTTGGTGGACCGGAAAGTAATTTCGCTTCGGCTCATTAAATATTCGTTAGTCTTAAAAACCAATTCATTTTATTCGATCCATTTCGATTCCCTTTCGATCTGGCATTGAAAGGTTGTTGTAAACGAGGATGAATACTATATTGATTAAAAATAAATCTTGATAACAAATATTAAATGCCCCCAAAGGACATTACTTTCCGGTCCACATAATGCGTATCGTTTTCATCGTAATTTACATCTTACATTAAAATTATTGTTCTATTGAAAATGTTCGGTACAACATTTGATCCAAGAGCACTATAATCTCTTAAGTCATAGCCTTTTGTTGAAATCAAAATTACCTTTTCATACAAGTGACCCCAGTTAAGCCACAGAATCATTTGCTTCTAAGGTAAGATCCTTACAACCATTTAAAATACCTTTTTTTTTCAAACACACATTTATCTCAATTTCCCTTGCCGACTTCTAAACCAGTACTTATTGTCAGCTAAGAGACAGAAACAAAGCTGGCGTAGCTCACACAAATTGAACGATAAAAGGGTTAAAGAACAAAAAAGATCTTTTTAGTTCGTTGATTCATGGTTTGCCTTAGCTTCTCACAAAAGCATGACTATGGCAGTATCGATTTCTGTTAACTTCCGGACTGTCTCTACAGAGAATATGCCAATTTGACAAATCACCTAAGCTTTGTGTGTTACGGGGCCGCAATTGATGGACCTGCTGCCTTTTCTTCGCATAAGTAAGAGAAAAGTGAAAAAGAATAACATAAGGTGAAATGTTAGACGATAAATGTTGATAAAGTCGTCTGCCAATGTGCAAGAGGAGCCATCTTAGAATTTCATTAATTATCTCTTCTTTTTAGGTAATTCTATGATTAACGTTTCAATTCTTTTAATCAAAGAGTACTTTATTTTGTAAAAGTGTTCATAAAAATTTCAACTAGCTTGCTTGATTGAAAACTTCATTTTCTTCAAAATTATGCAAAGCGTAATTGACTGTTATTTCCAAATTCGTATATTTTTGAAGCGAATTTAATTTTTAATCAAGCAATATCTTACCGCTTCAGGTTCTTGAGAATGTTTATTTAATTTTCAACTATCTGTTTTAAGTCAATTTATTTTATTTGTTAAATGAAAAATAAGGAGAGCAAAATTAAGTGAGTAAAAAAGAAAATTAATATTCAATTCTTAAAAAAAAGTAATTGTGAAGCATATGTGTATGTGTAACTATCTTAATTTTTATAGCTAAAAGTAAAGAGAACAATTAATTAATTTATGCAAATATAAATACATTTGTTTTTTTCTGCACTCTTAGAAAAATAGGTTTAATATTTTGCCAAATTTCATTTTTTTAAGCATAAATGTTTAGCAAAATAGTTTTTTAAAAAGTCATTTAACTTTAGGATGAAGAATTAACTTTTTTGGTAAAACGAAAATGTACTTCAGAAAAACAGAGCAAAAATGTGAAATTAAGAAAATAATTATTCAATTACTTTTAAAATAACGTATTTCTGAAGCATATGTATTTGCGAAACTACCTTGATATTTCAGCACTTAATGGATAGAGAACAATTAGTTACTAATTTACACAAACCTAAATACATTTTTTTCTGTACTGCACTCTTATAAAAATCGGTTTAACATTAACCACAATTCCAATTTTTGGACGTATATGTATAATAAAATAGTTTTAAAAAACATTTAACTTTAGGATAAAAAATTAACTTTTTTGGTAAAACTAAAATGCACTTGACGAAAAATAAAAACAGCAAACTTATGCGAGTAAAAACAATTAATAGTCAATTCTTTAAAAAAAACGTAGTTGTGAAATATATGTGTTTGTGTAACTATCTTAATTTTTAGCATTTAAGAGATAGTTACACAAATCTAAATACATTTATTCTTTATTGTACTCTTAGAAAAATCAATTTAGCAATTAGTCACTTTATCCTTTTTTAACGTCTATATAAATAAAGAAGTAGTTTTAAAAAAATATTTAACTTTAGGATAAAGAAATAGCTTTTTTAGGTAAAACTGAATTGCCCTTGTCATTTAGATAGAATATTAAGATGTAAAAAGTTTAGAAATTACCCCTTTTACCCAACAGAGGGTACTGGCACAAAGCAATAAATGATTCAACACAAAATGCTCATTTTGTGTTTATATTGTTCTATGAATTATCAAAACCGGAAAAACATTCCATATTTGACTTCATTTTTGACCAGTTTCTTACATATGACTATTAAGAAATGATTTGATATTTTGTTGATGAAAACCCAATGCTACAATTAGGTTAAAAAACTTGAGGGAAAATTAAATGTTTTTTTTTGTTTGGAAACATAGTAAATCTGAAATATACAAAAAAAAACGAATTTTAATGCAAATTAAAAATTTAAAAAAAGGTTTTTAAATATAAAAAAATACTTTTTCTCCCTTGTTTGAATAAATTCGGGTCTATAAAATGTTTCAATACATACCGATTAATAAATTTAAATATGCATTCTGCTCAATAGAATCAAACAATGAGGGGTTGAAAATTAATAATATTAAGAAAAGAATAATCTTTCATCTTTTCATCATTCACGTGATGACACCTTGAAGAGGAGCGTCATGTTCGAGAGCTTAAAACCTGCCAACATGAAAGTCTTTATGAATGATTTTAACTATAAAGCAGTAAAAAGAAAGAAGCAAAAGTTTGCGTATAAAAAATCTCTCTACAAAGACCTAAAATTAACCTTACTAATTAGATTATTACTAGTTTCGAATTAGAGAGGGTAATTTTAATTAACATTAAGATGTTAATTAAAATTAATCCCTCTCCAAATACCTGAAATTTGCCAACAAAGATCTCAATTATTCAAACCTCCTACAAAGTATCTTTATAAAAAATATCAGATTTAAAATTGAATTTCATGACAATTTCTATGCGGACAGCTTTTTTATAAATTTTAAGTAAATAGCAACATTTCTAGTAATTAGCAAGAATCTATTAAGAATCATGGAAATATAAATTTTAAGGTTTTTTAAATAGCAGTTTCATTACCGATATTGTAGAAATAAGTGTGTTACGACCCCTCAAGATGGATGTGTA